ACGAATATTCAATTTAAGTGATAGATCCCAGAAACAATGGCTCTTGATTGTCTGTAATACGAGTCAATTCTCTGACTGCGTTGGTGAGGCAAACAGCTGCAAAATATCCATATTTCATGCATTTATTATACTCTGTGCTCTGGCTGGACATGCATCATTTCTTGGAATATGACTTTTTTCCACACCTTGTGTATGTAGGGAAGTTCTCTCTCCTTGCCTCAGGGGTTTTATGACGATGACTTTTAATGCATAAATGTCTTTTTACAATTTCTAAGCTAGTTTTAGGTTTTTTAAGTTTGTCAGATTTCTCTAGGTTTTGCTGTTTCACCAGTTCAGAGTGTTTTGCTATTTGAATAGCTGTGACTAGGGTTAAATCTGTCTTCAGTTGTAGCTTCTGGGAAGGGTTTTCATCTGCTAATCCAATAGCCAGCCTGTCTTTGATATTTTTATGTTTTGCATTCTGAAAATCAGTTTTCAGCCAATGTGTCCAGAGCTCTTATAAAACATTCAACATTTCCCCCTCGTTCTTCAATTCTCTGGTGAAAACATGCTCTTTCATAAACCACATTTCTCTGGGGTATAAAGTATGTATCAACATAGCCTGAACCCTTTAGCATAGACACCTTTGTGACTGTCTTCAGTAAAATCTAAGGCTTTAAAGAGATGCTCTGCCTGCATCCCCATAGCATAAATTAAAGAAGCTGAAGTTCTCTGGGGCATTGAAGAGTGGCATGTTGATGAGATCCTGCAACCTTCATTGCCATAGGTGCTGACTCCATGGGTGCTCCGGGGCTGGAACACCCACAGGGGAAAAAAAGTGGGTGCTCAGCACCCACTAGCCCTCTGCCAATCAGCCTTTTGGTGCCCCCTCTCCACCACCAATCAGCTGTTTGGCGGCAGGCAGGAAGTGGCAGGAAGAGGTGTAGTGAGGCCAGGGCACTGGAAGAGGGGGCGGAGCAGGGGCAGGAAGAGGCGGGGCAAGGGTGGGGCTTTGGGGGAAGGGGCAGAGTGGGTGCGGGGCTTTGGGGCAGAGTGGGCATGGAGCACCCACCCAGAAAAATGAAAGTCAACACCTGTGTTTATTGCTGTTTTCCTTCTTTCTGAAACCAGTGTTGTTTTGTTCCTTCTGTTTCTGTTCTTAATTTACTCCTGACACCATGTCATATACTTCTGTACCAGATGTGAACTGGCTACAGAGCTTGCTTATATACACCAAATGTGTTCATCATAAGATCCTTTGATGCTCTGCCAGGGACGGAAGAGGTTCATTTAAATAAAAAGCCACCTAGTGGCTGAACAGTATAATACAGTTTCTCATTTCATTACAAGTCGCAGCGAAACTGCATTTGTTTTGTTATCGAAGGGAGCTTAGGTTGAATTACATGGATGTTTCAAGAGGGCTTGTGCTGGCATTTTTTACAAAATGGAAGGTTGCTCTACCTCCGCATGCATCTGTTTTATGACATACCAATGGCCATATAGTATCTTTATATATACAGTGTTCTCTCTATAAACAACACAGGCAAGCGTAAATGCAACTTTATTTCTTAAAGTCAAGTGAAATAGCCCAGAAAGTTGTAGCCTATGTGAAATCAACAGTAGGTTTCACACAGTATAAATCAAAAGGAGCTTCACAGTTTCCTTCCTCCTCCCCAGTGGAATCACTAAACTGCTGGCTGAAAAGCTGTCCTTTATCATTCTCCTGCAGGTCTGAACTTCACTACACATGCTTCTCCCTCTGCGGAGAGGAAGAGAGACCAAACAACATTGCTTAATGTCCAACTGAAAGATTCTCAGTCATTATGGTGATGAATATATAACAAAATTAATGATGAATTAATAACAAAAGTTATTAATAATGTTATCTTATTTTAGCACCAACCGTGTGTCTAGCACTGTCCATGAAGGCATAAGGACAGACATGGTCCTTGCTCCAAGTAACTTACAGCATAGGGTACATTGGGAGAACCAGAGGCTTAAGCATTTTTAACTTTTCTGTAGTCTTGTGGCTCAAGATCAGGCTCAGTTTGTTATTAAAAAAGGAAATTGTCAGGGAGTTAGTGCCATGGCTTAGTGGTGTTTGCTATTTGAAATATATATATATATTTCAAGCCAAAATAAATAAAAAAATATATATATATATAACAAGCCAAAAATATTAGTTTAGAAATCTTTCATGGCTTGTTGGCCTTACTAGATTATGATATGAGAGCCATTTGGATCCATCCGGTATGTAATATTGAATCACATAACATCATTGTTACTTGGGGTCAGATTCTGACTGGCCATAATACAGCCATGCTGGGAAATGAAACCTCTCCAGTCCTCTTTGGGGCTTGCTTTGGGCTCCTCCCTGCATTTTGGGTTGAATTGGGGGTGGGGAAATGTGCTCCAGAGCAGGTGGGGAGTGAGTGGAGCTGTCGCAACCGTTCCCCTCAATATATCAGCCAAGTTGGGGGAAGGGGAGGAAGTAATCTGCATCCTTTTCAGGCTATAGTTAGTTACTTTCTACTGGAAACAAAATAGAGAGCAAGCGAGGAATTTGTGACTCTTAAGACCTTGCACCGGTTACCTAGGTTAAAGGCGCCCACCCTGTAGCTTTTTAACGGGGAATCCGGAAGCTGCCACTGTTTCCCTGTCAGCTCTGCTCAGACACAGTGGGAGAACTGAGCCCACCTTGTACAGTGGTGATAGGTGTTATAAGTCCTTCCCTGGGCTGCTCCTGGGCAGCACACCTACATATGGCTCCATATGCAGACGGGTCTCATGCTAGCCCTAAGGTTGCACATGAGGTGATCTATGACTCTTTTCCTTTCAGATTCTGGATCTGACCTGCTTCTATTCCCCATAGAAAACCCCAGGAAGACATCACTCAGATGCTTTCTCAACAGTACATTGCTGCTGTGCACTTCAGCTCAGTAGTCCCATGTGCTCTCCTCATTGAGTTGTTCGCCATGTATTAACCCTGTTCCTCCAGCTCTAGAGCATCCCCCGTTCATTCACTCCTGTAAAAAGACACCCTCTGGGCTGTCCCATCATGGAGACTCATGATGCCTGTTCTTCCACAGATTCTGCTAGTATCTCATCTTGGTTCTTTCTGCTGTACAACTGACTTTGTTCCTTCCATCAAGAAACTAGCTTTGCTTTTGAATTGAATCAGTGCACTAAGTTTACTTGGTGTGTCTAATAGAAAAATCTTTTTTTTCGGTTTGTTTAGGGTGTGAGTATCACATAATTTTTGTAATGGAGAGTTATTTCTCTCCAAGAAAGTGGAAGAACATCAACCCAAGAAATCATCCTTTGGCTGTACTAGCTCAATAGCTTAGAGCATAGAAAAGACTCAGTTGTGCTTCCTACAGCAGAGCCAGTATTTCCCCAGTTTGTAGCTGTATTTTTCAGTCTGTAGCACGAATGCCTTCTTTAACTGTAGTATCTGGGCAGTAGCAGCTACATAGATTTCACAAAAAAAAGTGGCTTTCATTGTATGATAGACTTTATCTGCTCCAGGAGCTGCATTCAATGCACAGGGTAAATATGCAATTATTATTATTATTTTCACTCAAATACATTTACCTAACTTTTTAATATGGAAACAAAAATTGAAAAAGCTAATTTTGACACCAGCTGACCATGCAAGGCAAGGTAAAGATGAGGCTTAAATATCATGCCTGTGTCACTGCCTCTTGATCATTACTTGCCCGTGCTGTGCCAAGGTAGTGCAGCACAGGTACTTACGTAATGTAACACCCTGTATTAATCCCAGCTCTATGCAATATTTCAGGGTAGCAGGCGGGGTTGTTACAGGCGGGTTTCAGCATAGGATTTCAGCCTTAAACTTTAATTTCCTGCCTTCTGCTGGTTTGTCTCACAACCTTAATGTTGTTTAAACCTAATTGCATTTGATTCCCATGACTTCAAACAACCAGTCCAGCTCCAGAGCTGAACATTAGGTGTTGAGGCTCTGGGTGAGACTGACAAGAGGGTGCGCTACTGTGCATTCTTTTTTCACACTCGTGCATTCCAGTTCAGTGCTGAATACTGATTTGTTCTCTCAGGTGATGTGTCTGAGGTAACTCAAATGGTGGGGAAGGGGAGAAAATAGCAAAGGGAAAAAAATGTTTGTCATATAGAGAAGGTGATGGAGATGAATCCTGTTGTCTGATGTTTCGGGCTACATACCTAAACCCAGCGAGCACCCCATTTCATTGATCTGAGAATATGTTCGGTAATACAAAAGGATTCTCAAGAGCTATAATAGTTACAACCTTCTATGTTTCTTAATTTCTCACCAGGAAAATTGCTAACCTTTTAACCCCATCAGTGCTAAAAATCAGTCGTGTAAAAGGTAGAGTATGCACACATGGAGTAAACACATTTAGAGGATGAACTCATTCTTCTCTCATCTCTCAGCCATTTGAAAGCTGTGGTGAAACACAGAATTTCTGGCAACCTTGAATGTCCTAGCCAAGGTCAAATGGGCTCTAAATATCTTCTCACGCCCTCCGCAATATGAAGCTTGCTTTGATATAAACAGCTCCTGAAAGTGAGAACTGGATCTGAGAACTGTTTCACACTTCAGCCATCTACAAACTCTGCTGTTTCTCACAGTTTCAGATTATTAATGTGAATCCAACTGCTCTTTATGGCAATGTATAATTGTACGGCTGATGCCATGCCCAGCAATATATCTCCCCTCCTACCCCCTTCGCTAATTAGGATGTTGTTCCAGTTTACCTGTACTTTCTTCTGCTTAATAGAAACAAGGACAGCTTGGTGTTAAATACTGCATGTTCTTTGGATTAGCTTTTCTTTTGTTCAAATAGCACAGTTCTGTAAGGAAAATCTCTACACAGAAAAAACAAAAACAAATTGGCAGCTTGCTGCAAAGATGGAGTCTCTAGGAAAAAATAATAAAAATATACACGGCTGCTTGTGTTAGGGCACTGGGTCACTAATTGAGTGCAAGCTTTAAAAAAAAATGTTGTTTATCCCCCCCACAGGGCATACAAAAGCATTGAAGAGGACGACTTGAAGTTTCCCCTTATATATGGAGAAGGCAAGAAGGTAGGCATGTGAGCTTTCCTTGAACCAAAGGGATAAAGAACTCTGTGCTGTTTACCACTCAGTGTAGCCTGTGGCAGTCCAATGTTTTCCACTCAGTATCTCTTTATTTTATCATTTTGACAGCTTGAAAGAATATTGTGTCTGACATAAATCAGTCTCTGCTGTCTTCAGGGAGGGAAAAGTGCAGTGTATTAAAAGGTAGTTTTATAACAAACTTAGTCATTTGTTGCTCAATTTACTTTTGTTTTCTTACATGCACGCAGCTTGTAAGAGTGTTTTGCATTGTTGCAAATAAGCTAAAATGAGACCATCTTAAATTGCTGTTCATGTGCAGATAGTTCTCATGGCATGGTTGTGAAATGCATTTTAAATGTGGATTGGTTGGGTGAAGAAGACAAAAATCTATCCACTTTGCTGAATAAAACAGCAGTTGTGTGTTTAACCATGATTTACAGTATATTGAGATAAGGAAGCTGTTGAAATTCTGACATAAGGGGAGGCATAGGTGGGTGTGATCTCAGGGAAAGGTAACACATTCGGAGTGATAAGAACTAAATTTTTTTTTTTAATGATAATTTCATCCAAGTGCCACTGTGTTACCAATTGCATGATTATGAACAGCAAGATTATTTGCTCTGATCCCAACAAGCCTAGCTAGACATAGCAATAGGATGAATATAAGGACACAGAGGTCTCAGTTTGCTGACATTAGTATGCTCACTGTGTTTCCAAACAGCATTTCCCCACTGTTTGGATTCTTATTTGAATACAGAAATATGCAATCTTCAGATATAATCTAGTTATGAAGGATTCAAACCTGCTGTAGCTTATCTGCAGGTTTGATGGGATTGGTTCTTTTGTTTGCAAAGTGTTTGTGCACCTGTTATTTTTTAATTTATTTTCTCTTTGTTTTGTGGATGTAGTGTTTTAATGTATAATGTTATTTAAAGTAATCTCGGTCACTAGCTGGCATCCATAGCATAAGCTTCCTGGTTCAGAGGTGGCCCCAGATTCCCATCCCCCTGACTGGAGGATGGTAGGAAGGTTGTTGGGAGAAGATGTTGGGTTCATTGCCCTGTGAGAGTATCTTGCTGGCTGCTCTGTGGCATGGTATTAGTTAAGGAAGACTCGGGAGTTTCTTGAGGGAATGGCTGATGTTTCAGGGGAAATGTGCTCTAGCAAGTAGGTGAGGTGTTTGAGGTAATTGAAGATCTTGTCTGTACTGGTTCTGCAGTCAGGAGAAGCACTTTGAAAGAGGGTATTGGGGAGTGAGGTGCATCTCTAAAACTATTGCTCTTCCCAGTAATGACCCTGTTCATATTATTGTCACATCAGCGATTTGAGTTTGCCTCATGGTTCTTGTCTTGCCAAAGGAAATATGTGGCAGCACTCCATTATGAAGAGACATCCTGCTGCCTTCGTTATTAAACCCCCAGGGTGGTTGTTTTTTTTATTTTTTATTAAGACAAAATTAAAATAAAATGTTAACATACTAAACCATATATTACTTTTTCAGGATCAGATTAATATTCAAAGAAACCAGCTAAAGATTTTGGTTTGCTGGTTGAGCAGCCCCCCTCCTCTGAGTATGCTAAAAAGAGTGCCAAGTGTCTAAATACCGATCTTCTTTTTGGCACTTCTCTTGTGTACATTCTTGGTGTGAAAGCTTTTCCATTACAAGAACCGTCCATATTTTATTACACAACAATTCTATAGGAGGAGGGGGTCACATTTTTCCAATAATGTGCAACACAAGGTCTAGCTGCTAACAAAAATGTAATTAATTTGTAGTTCTGCTTAAAAGGCCGAACCTTTACTTGAGCTTTAAGGAAGCAGATCAGGGGATCTCTAGGATGCCAGCATTTTGTCATAAAATGAATCTCTTTAATAATTGCCTCTGCAAACCATCTAAATCCTGGACACATCCAGCCTATGTGCAAGTATGTTTCCCTTTACCTGCAATCCCTTCAAAAGAGCTCTTCCCTAGTAGCAAAAATATTATGGATCTTAACTGGAGTCTAATGCCATCTATACAGTAATAATTTTTATAAATTATTAATCTTTTGAGCTACACATATTGAAGATGAATATCCCCTTTCCCACAGAGAGACCCACTCACCCGCATCAATTTCTTTGTCCAAATCCTTCTCCCATCTTTTCATCTGGATTGTTTTCTTATCAACATCTTTTTCAATCCAAATTGTATATGTTTTAGAAATTAAACCTTTTGTTTCAGCTTGCTCCTGGCTCAACTTTTCAAACGTGGTTAAAGGTCTAGATAGAGCCACCTCATATCCAGCTTTCACAATAAAATGTTTGACTTATGGGATATTGACAATATGGGATATTTGGTATGATGTCAAATCAGTACCGAGGAACAGCTGTCTGAATTGAATAAGCTCAGCTCTTACCCACAGTGGACAGCCACTTTGATACGTTCTAGGGATAAATTCCTGATTATTAATGAAAGTAGTTGAGGAAGAGGGTCTTGGTGACAGGAATTTAGAAAATTTGTCCAGAGCTGCTAAGGTGGTCTGGATAAATGACCACCTTTTATTTTTGGTGACGTATGTTTCTTTTTAACTCAACAATTACTATGAATAGCCATATTTGGGCTATAGTCTTGTTAGAATTTTACCATGTTTGGATGGTCTGTTGTTAGCCTAGATGACCCCATATTTTAATTGTGATGCATAATAATAATAAACCCAAATTAGGGAACGCTAGTCCACCCTACTTTTACGGAACTTAAAACTCACCCTTGGCCTTATGTTTCCATATGAATTTTAATAGTGCATTCTACCATGTTTCTGATGTCATGTCAGGGATACCAACAGAGATGTACTGAAAAAAAATTACTGGGAGGACATTCATCTTTACCAAGGCTACCCTACCTAGCCAAGTTATTTCTTATTCGTCCATTCTTCCAAGACTTTCGTCATTTTATTTCACATTGAAGGATCACTTGCCTTAAAATGATTTTTATGTTTCTCCACAGTATTTATTCTCAACTATTTTAAAGATTCCTTTACCCATTTAAGTTTATGTAGATGTGACAACAATTTGTTTTGACCTTTTTGGGAATATTAATTCCTAAAATTTCAGATTTATCATAGTTTATTTTGAAGCCTGATACTTGCCCAAATTCCAAAGCTCTATAATTTTTAATGAGGCTCCTGGCTCCTGCAGATATAACAAGATGTTGTCGGCATAAAAAGCTATTATGTGTTTAATCCAGAAGGCATTCTGATGCCTTTTACCATAGGACTGTTTCTCACACTCACTGCAAATGGCTCCATTGCCAAAGCAAAGCATAACAGCCATACTTGTCTGGTACTCCTAAACAAAATGAAAGGAGAGAGGCACCCTCAATATTTAACTTACCTGCCTTTTTTCAAAAGCTGCCTACCACTCAGCATCTCCCCTCTTCCCAGGTGGTCAGGGGGATGTTGCATATAGGAAATGACAATACTTCAAGAAAGAGCTATCAAAATATTCCGCTGACAGAGTGCTCTCATTGACTAACATGCTGAGTGCTTCATACACTTAATATAATTTAGTACTTCTAGTGCAAGTAGTACTTGAGGTCTCTTACAGAGAGATTACGGCTCCATTGTCCTAGACCCTGCACAAACAACTGTCCCAGAGAGCTCACAATCTAGGCTCTAGACAATGCATAAGTTAGAATAAACAGAAATGGGGAAATAGGGGAGGGGAAGGGAGAACAAGGAAGTGATAGAGAGAGGTGCATTAGGTATTTTTAAATTCCTGAAGACTTAGATTAATGAGAGAGAATTTTGATTCTGGTTGAGATTACACGTTTTTATTTTACTGACCTTTTTCTCACTTACACACACACACCATTCATTCATTCTCTTTCTCTCTGTGCTATATATAATTTTGAGACAGCAAGTATTTGCAGCATTCCCAAATTTCACAAACCACCTGAGGATGCAGTGGATGTTAAACCCACTCCTGAACTACTCAGGGGAATTTAATTTATGGTCTAGAATGATAGGCAGGTTTTTTCTTGGCCCTGCAGAAAGGGAGAAATTGAAGTCAGAGTGATCCTGGTGGGTAGTCTTTTCACTTCCACAATTTTAGCTACTTAAAGGTCACTGTCTATGTTAACTCCCCCGTATAGGGGAGGAGACATTGAAAAAGAGAGGTAATTCCTCCAAAAGCCCTAGCAGTTGTGTGGTGGGGTCAGTTTTTAATTCTCTACCACATTAACATTGTGTGTGGAATTGGCTTTGATACTAATGCGTTTCTCTTGTTTCCAGGCTCGTGTCATGGCAACTATTGGAGTAACTAGAGGACTTGGAGACCATGATCTGAAGGTGCATGACTCCAATATCTACATCAAACCTTTTCTGTCCTCATCTCCCGAGGTACGCCCTCCATGTTTTTGTTACATGATTTATGGGAGTGAAGGAAAATTAATTAAACTAAGCGCACTTTGTTCATCCTGAATTACCCTCAACTGTGGACAATGTCCAGAATGTTGTTTGATCACTTAAATAAATGTTTAAATGAAGGGTGGAAATAATGACAGGACTGATGCCATTCGCTACATAGTAATGTAGTTTTCATTCCTCTTCCTACTGCCCCAGGAATGTACACATCCCTGTCAGGACCCTGATGCCTTCCCGCCTTCTAAGTGTCATGGTTAATGTCCTTCTGCCCAAGGGGCACTAGATGTGACTCTGCAGCTGCTTCATGGTCAGCCCAAGGATTCACTATTCAGTGGCACAAGATGCTCTTCCCCCTACATTTCCCTTTCAGTGACTGAGCATGCTACTGACACAATTTAAAGCCCATGTCCGCTTCTGAAATAAGAGAATAGAACCTAGATACTGGAGTCTCTGATTTCTTGCATGGCAACTTGGAAACTACAGCTTGTACACAGGACAGAACCCCAATGTCTAAGGAGGAAAAATAGCCAGGGTACATCAAAATACACTGCACACCTGCCCTTGATCCACTTCCCTTGCACACCCAGTGCTTAATCTTTAAGACCTTCAGTCAGTTGGGACCTAACTTCAGAACATTTTCAGTTCATCACTATCCAATACATGGTAGCTGATGGTATTTGGAGTAAAGCACTTCAGAACAGGATGTAGGGCATTTTCAGTTGATGGTCCAGGATGTTGCAGTGGCCTACTGGAGGTTCTTAGAATGAGCCTGAGCCTGGCTGTCTTCATCGAAAACTCCTTTTTTGCATAAGCCACCCTGGAATAACAAAATATACAGAATCAATAATGAACATTATATTTAAAACAGTAAGCAAGACAGGTCAAGCCTACAGAGCTGAAGAGTAGAATCCACTGTGAACACATATGAATCTTAATTACCATGGGTCAAATCCTGAGAGTTCTGCACCTCCCGCTGGCTTCAGCAAATACTCAACAGTTGCCAACATTTAACCTAGTTGTTGAGACCTACATGCTATGGTGCTGAGTGCCCTAGTAAAGACGACGGAGAGGGAGCAAGCGAGCTTGCACACACTGAAACATAGTGTTGCTGCCAAACTAACAAGTCCTGACTAAAAAGTGCTTGCACTGAGGCTTGAAAAGACAGCTGCAGAGAGATTCTGGTCACTTAAAGAAAAGAAGTCTATTGATAGCACCCGTCATCCTTCCTCACTCTCATTCTGCTCCTTTCCCTGTTTTTTTTTTTCAGTGTATGCCATTTCTTACTTTTGTACCGTCTCTGCTGTCCCAAGCCAGGGAATCAGCATTTCTGCCCTCATGGTTGTAATAGATTTGTTTTGTGCCAGTGTAATGCTACAATTCTATCTCCTCTTTCTGGCACTCCAAGATCTGGCTCTAGTGTAGTATCTCGGCAGGACTGACCTTGCCAATTGCTGCAGTAACAGGTTTAATTTCCTAGACACTACAGTGCTAATAAGCGATGGTCACATAAACACCACCCTATACCGGAAACCTACTGTCCGCTATACTTACCTACATGCCTCTAGCTTCCATCCAGGACACACCACACGATCCATTGGCTGCAGTAACATTCATTCATGCAATATAAAGATCTTCTAGGCTTCTGCATCTTGTAGGTTTTTCCAATTTGTGTTTGAATTCCAAAACGTGGTGCGCACAACACATACTCTGAGTCTCAGACTCTGCAAGTGCCTGATCAAATGGCAGCAAAAAAGGTCCTTGTTTCCATAGTCTTTTGGCAGTTAAGGCTAGCAGAAATGTCGCAGGGGCCAGTAGCAGGAAATGAAGAATACCAGCCCTAGCAATCTTGAGATAGAGCCAGCAGAAATCAAATTCTATGAGAAAACAAATACATGTGCCAAAAAACCCCACACACTGAACAATGCTCTTGTCTCAAATATTGTCTATATATTGTCAGGAACCTGCAATACATCTTGCAGACAAAGCTATGTTAAGAAGCAATGCCTTGTGCTGCCATTTGGGGAACTTGCATTTGGAAGTAAGTTTAGTAGTAATAATACTTGCAACTTCTATAGCACTTGCTCATCAGTGGACCTCAAATAATTATATAAAGGTGGGGGGAAATAATTTCCATTTTACAGACTGAGAATCTGAGCCATAGAGAAGTTAGTCACACAGTGAGTCAGTGACAGGCTAGAACTACATCTTCTGACTTCAGGTCCTGTGCCATAGCCACTGCCCCCTTTCCCAGGCCAGGGGAGAACATGGCAAATTTGTTTCAAATCGTAAAACCAAAGCTATGATATAAGATTGCAACAGAAACGCATCTGAAATCATAGCCATATAAATATCTGAAGAAGCAGACTGAGTCTAAATCCAGAAGTGTAGGTTTAAGTAACTTTTGGATTAATCAAATTTTATTATAATAGACGTACCAACCCATGAGAGGAGCAGACCAGTATCCAAGTCTGACCATCAGCATTCAGTGATTCAGCTGGTATGAGACAAAATTTGGAAGACTTTCACAGCTCTAGAAAACTGAACCACTTATAATGAACTGGAGAAGCACAAAGCAGACTTACCAGAGCTGAGGCTATCTCAGTTGTATTACAGATCTATTTTTCATAGTGAAATAATCGTTTGACAAATCTTAATATGAAATTCTGGCATTAGAATTCAATAGGAATCTTGTCCCTGTATCTGGGAAGTAAGGTTTGGTTTTAAGATTCTTCAAATGATTACTCACCCATTCGTTGGAAGAGGCATGCATCCGATGGCGCCATTTGGCCCTTGTTACTTCATCTGATCACTCGTCTGACTGAATGATGGGGAGGTGGAGAACTGAAGAACCTTTTCCCATAAAGGCTGTGATAAAAGAGCTTGCTGAACACTTCACAGTATGTAAAAGGAAACCACACAATGTTAGACTGACATCAGTGTTTGGGAGAAAGCTTTAGGACTTCCATTTAAAGGAACAAATCGGGTAAATATTTGGAGAGGGACTGTTTGATTCAGGAGAATCGAGGTGATTTCAGGAATAGCAGGTCAAATCTGACTAGCTTGGAATTCTTTTAGGCTACTACTGCCAGGGAAGAAATGAAAAATGCAGTAGATGGTCTTACACAGCGCTTGGATTTCTCAGAAAGCATTTGAGAAAATGTTCTGCCTCGTAGGTTAATATAAAGGACAGCCAGGGAGTAAGTGGAAAGTTGGCACAGTACACTGGGAATTGGCTAAAGGGCAGGAAACAAAAGGTAGCAGTAAAAAGCTAAAAGGAGGTTAATTGGTGAGTGCTGCAGGGAACAGTGTTGGGACCAGCTTTTCATTATTTACATATAAATTACTTGGAAGATGGTATTGAAAGAGATTTCCATGTTTGCCAATGAAACTGCATTGGATGACGCTGCATGTAGAAGGAACAATACAATTAAGAAAGGATTTAATTTATTGAAGTAGCTGTGCTGATTGATAGTAAAGGCAGCTGAATATAGAGTGTTGCCCCTCTTGGCTTGAATTCCACTGGGCCAGGCTGGTTCAGGAGCGTCTCAGGTGGCTGCAGGCTCACGTGTCCATTTGCTACGGATAGTTTTCAAGCCAGAGTTGGCTGGCTCGCTTAAGAACATGAATGGGATACCAGATCAGGTGTGGCTCTTTCACAAGCCTAACATTTTGCAGGTGAGTGCATAAGAACGGCCCTACTAGGTTAGACCAATAGTCCATCTAGCCCAGTATCCTATCTTACAACAGTGGCCAATGCCAGGTGCCCCAGAGGGAATGAACAGAACAGGTAATCATCAGGTGATCCATCCCCTGTCACCCATTCCCAGCTTCTGGCAAACAGAGGTTAGGGACACCATCCCTGCCCATCCTGGCTAATAGCCATTGATGGACCTATCCTCCATGAATTTATCTAGTTCATTTTTGAACCCTGTTATAGTCTTGGCCTTCACAACATCCTCGGGCAAAGAGTTCCACAGGTTGACAGTGCGCTGTGTGAAGAAATGCTTCCTTTTGTTTGTTTTAAATCTGCTGCCTATTAATTTCATTTGATGACCCCTAGTTCTTGTGTTATGAGAAGGAATAAATAACATTTCCTTATTACTTTCTCCACACCAGTCATGATTTTATAGACCTCTATCATATCCCCCTTTAGTTGTCTCTTTTCCAAGCTGAAAAGTCCCAAGGTATGTCTACACTACAAAATTAGGTCAAATTTATAGAAGTCGGTTGTTTAGAAATCATTTTTATAAAGTCAATTTTGTGTGTGTCCCCACACAAAATGCTCTAAGTGCATTAAGTCGGCGGACTGCGTCCACAGTACCGAGGCTAGCGTCGACTTCCGGAGCGTTGCACTGTGGGTAGCTATCCCACAGTTCCCGCAGTCTCCTCCACCCATTGGAATTCTGGGTTGAGATCCCAATGTCTGATGGGGCAGAAACAGTGTCGCGGGTGATTCTGGGTACATGTCGTCAAGCCCCCACTCCCTCCCTTCCTCCATGAAAGCAACGGCAGACAATCGTTTCGCGCCTTTTTTCAGCCCAGACGCCATAGCACTGGGATCATGGAGCCCACTCAGATCACCGCGGCAATTATGAGCACTGTAACCAATACGCGCATTATCCTGGAGTATATGCGGAACCAGAACCTGCCAAAGCAAAACCAGGCGAGGAGGCGACGGCAGCACGGTGACGAGAGTGATGAGGAAATAGACATGGACATAGACTTCTCACAAAGTATGGGCCCCGGCAATGTGCACATCATGGTGTTAATAGGGCAGGTTCATGCCTTGGAATGCCGATTCTGGGCCCGGGAAACAAGCACAGACTGGTGGGACTGCATAGTGTTGCAGGTCTGGGATCATTCCCATTGGCTGCGAAACTTTTGCATGCATAAGGGCACTTTCATGGAACTTTGTGACTTGCTTTCCCCTGATCTGAAGCGCCAGAATGAGAGCAGCCCTCACAGTTGAGAAGCGA